CTCGTGCGCCTCATCTTCATTTCTTTTATCGAGACTCTAATTGACGAAATCTTTAAATTCCTAATCCTTAATTGCCTGTTGCCAAATGCAATTAGTACTTTCTTTTCTTCCGGAAACATTCAAATATATTTTCCCTTAGAGAATTCAGCCACTGAAATTTGTGAAATTTAAAGACTCAAAAGAAATTAATGCTGAGTAATTAAATATTATGACAAAAATAAGATGTTTCCGAAAAAAATTTAACACTTGAAAATAGGCTACTTCATACCTTCTTACACTAAGTTCTTTATTCGCTTATTTAATTGCTTATTATTAATTATAAATTAATTAAAAGTTATAAATTGCAAATAGAATTAATTAAAAAATTTTAAAGCAAGATTTTCCTTTTTGGAATAGAATTATTTTAATTATTTTTTTATTAAAAAAAAAAAGGTTTTCCTTCTATCTGCAACTAAAATAATCAATCACGAATTAAATAATCAATAATTAAAATTTTTGGTAGAAAGTTTTTGAGTCATGTGGCAAAAAATAATAATAATAATAATAATAATAAAAAGAAAAAAGAATAATAAAACACGCTGGTGTCAATTTAGGATGTTTGCTATATTTTCAGCAGTTTTTTGCCTCGCTATGATGGATATTGAAATTGAAAAAATTACTTTATTAATGGATTTACTAACAATTAAAGATAAAGAATTAAACCGACAGCATTAAAATAAAAAATAAAAATTATCGTTCAACAGATTTAAAATGATTAATTATTCTGAAAAAATATTGCATAAATTGGAAAACCGTAAAAAAGCAGAAAAAGAAAAGAAAAAGGTTTAAAAAAAAAAGAAGCACTTTGCGACCTTATCTGAGGTCCTTCGAAATCAGTCAGTAAATAGAGAAAAAAAAGTGTCCCCAGTGATGATTTCTAGACATTCCATTTTCCCCTCTGTTATCTTGAGCCTCTCTTAGAAAAAACTATTATAAATCCTCCTCAGAAGCTCGATTTTTATTCCGAAATTGAAAGAAATATATCTACATTCCTCTTGATTTCTTTTATTTTCTTTCACTTTTAAAATACGACTCTTATTTATAGCGGCTATAAATATATATTTATAATCGAGAAGTGAAAAATATGAAGAAAATGATTTATTAATTTCTTTTTTATTTTAGTTTTTTCAATTTTTTTTATAAATGAAAACTTCAATTAAATTGTGATCTAGCACTCATGTTCATAAATTTCTTTTTTGTTTTAAAACTAGTACTCCCCCAGCTTATTTCTATTGCCTAACAGAAAGCACAAAATATTAAACTAGATAAGAAAAATGTGTATCATTTTTGCATCAAAATATGTATTAAAACTTATTTAAATTAAGAGCCAAGAACTTACACAATCCTTTCACGAGCAGAAAAAGTCAGTTCAAAGAAACCTAGAATAAGCCATAAAATTTCTAATGATGAAATTAGAAATTTGCAAATATATAAAAAATACGAAGAAAGTTGAAAGAATGTTAAAAGAATTATGTATTAAATATAAACCATAAATAGGGCTTATATCTAACGCCCAATCATTTAAAACCTTTCCCACAAAGAAAGCGTGCAGGTTGTCGGGCTACCGAAGAGGGGATGCCATCCCCTCTGCAGAGGATCAAAATTGTGATGGCATGTCTTCGGATCATCCTCAGGGATGTTTCCCAGACCGTCGCCAATAGCCCATTGTGCAGCTCTAGCGATGTAAATGAACTACAACAACAACATCCCACAAAGAAAGTAATAATATTGATCTAATCTCAGAAAATGTGATGATGTGTCTTTAGTAACTTGGGAAATTGATCAGTCCCACGTTACTAAGACTAATATTTAAATATATTGTCCGGAAATATATAGAAACCTTCTTTCCAAGGTCAATCGCGCTCTTCTCTATCTATCCACCAGCAGGTAATGTTCTAATTTTTGGGCCAAATTCTATTATTTCTCCGTGTTCTTGAAACTTTTTCATTAAGCACCGCCATACTACGAATTTACAATGTTAATGCTTTCAAAGCGTAACATATATATAACCTCCAAGCAAGACCACCTCTGTGTAGCAACCTCCTCTATTTGCGACCACTTTAGGCAGGCACAGAATTTTTTCCATCTACTTTTGTTCGACTTTTCCATCTACCTTGTTTAGAAAACATTTTGGAGAGGCCTAGGCCATTAAAACCTCCCCTAAACGCCCGCTAAATTTCTCCACCAAATGCGGAAAAGATCAAATAATGAAACACGAAAAAAAATATCAAAACAAAAAATATTAACTAAACAAATAAGTTTAGTAAAATGTATTCAAAATATTGTGAGTGGCTTTGTGAGTGGCTCATATTTAAAGAGCTCTTTTTGACGATCTCTGAAAGAGATCGAAAACCTCTTGTTGCAGTCAGAGTGCATTAAAGACGATGCTATCAATGATTTATTTTTAGAGTTGGAAGTTAAATTAGTAAAAATAAGCTATTTTAGAAAAAAAACTAAGCATTTCAAACAAACAAAGGTCTTCTAATTTTTCATAGCTAACTACGTTTTATGATATAAGATTAAATGCAAACTGAAACAAAAAAAACATGATTATTTACTTATTTAAGACAGTTCTACTATTCATAATTGGTAAATTTGTTTTTAAACATAATTATATTAGTAAAGGTCATTTTTGTTTTACTGTGGAACGAAGAGTAGTTTCACTGTATACATATATACTCGTATATGCCAATTATTTTAGAATTACTTAAGATTACGTCGTGGGGAAGTTATGTTGTCATAATTTGTTTACATTTTGATATTTTGAATACATTTTTTCAGCATTTGAAACTCCATTGTTTTCTCCAGGTATATCTGAACTTCAAATTTCAAATTACCAATAGAGGTGATCGAACATTTGCCATAAACTATTTCTTAATGCCATAAGTAAGAAAGTAGTATGCCAAATATGCTTTTGCATGCAAAGATCCCAAAACACCATAATCAGTAAAAAAATTATTTTATTGGATTAGTTTCCGGGCAAATTTTACAGAAAAAGGTATCTACGTATCCGTAATAAACAAACAACAAATTTTCGAATTAAAAAAATTAAACTCGTGAACGAAAACCATAATTTTCTTCTTCTTTTAATCTGATTTGTGAAATTCAACATTTTTTTAAACAATTTTTACACTTCTCTGTTCTCTGTTTACACTTCTCTATCTCCCCCCCCCCTACAGTCCGGAAATTACTAGCCTCTCTGTATTGTAACGAGGTAAAGTTTAAAAATTATTTTTATCGGCTGTTGACAAGAGCAAACAAAAGAAAATTATTCGACGAAAATATAATGGTCTGTCGAATAGGGAGAATTTAATTTAGATAATTGTTTTTAATGTTTTAAAAATTAATGAAAAAATTAGAATACACCATCGCAGGTGTAATGGATCATATTTAATTATTTAATTTGTACATGTATAATACCTGTTTATTACCTGACAGTTTGAGCAGAGAGGGCTGTTCGAATATTACGTGAGCATCGCTTTGGTGATTTTTAAATTATATAAACAGATGGGTGAACCTATATTTTAAATTGCTTACCTTAAAATTCGTATTCTTCACTGTTCACCGCCAACCTTAAAAGCTTCCAGTGGCGTGCAGCGAAGGACAGAGAGGGAAACGACCCTAGACATCCCATCCCACCATAGTGGGCATTCATTTGATGACTAATAAACTAAATTTGTAATCTATGACCTTAAGCCGTGGTGGCTCAGAAGATAGAGCGCTAACCTCCCAATGAGGTGACCCAGGTTTGAATCCCAGCTTTGGTTAGTCGATATTAACTCTGCACTCGGCTCATACCGACCACAGTGCTGTCGTATAATATGTGATAGACGGACCATGGGTTAGAGTGCCCGTTGCTATCAGACTAACAGTGAGAGGTTTTCGGGGTTTTTCCGTTCAATATAACGCAAATGCGGATTAGTTCCATCTAAATGATCACTGGTCTTCTGGGTTGGCTAAAAAATTACATTGATAGTTGTAAACTCAGAATTGAGTCGGCTGTTCAAAGGCTGATTATAAAAAAAAAAAAAAANAAAAAAAAAAAAAAAAAAAAAAAAATCCATTAACAGAATTGAATTTCATAATGAAATAAATTTTTTTGATTGTTACATGTTTAACTAAACCAGAGCATTTTATGAAAAATAAAATATGATTTTCCCACAGATTTAATAAAAAAAAATTTTTTAAAGTCATTTTTATTAAATGCTTATTAGATTTGAGATTATTATATTGATTTATTAGATTTGTTGAAAATAATAAAATAAATTTACCATACATTATTGAAAATTAAATTTATTATTACCATACCAACTACGCACCCAGACTCGTATAAAACTTTACTAACATTTATACGAAAATTAATCCAAAATATAAGTTAACATTTTCATAGATATATATCTTTTCAACGATATTTCTTTTAATTAAATTTGGTTTTGCTTCCTTCTTTAGAGAATAAACTCTTCTTTTTAAAAGTATCTAATTAAATAGTTTGCCTCAGGCACCCAGATGCCTTTGCTTTGTACGCAACTGTACGCATATTTTTATTTCCTTCGATTTCAATAACAATAAACTAAGTTTCATATATTTTATATTTATATAATTAATAAGGTAAGCTTTCAAACTATTAGGAGTTCGTAAAATTGTGTTTCATCTCGAAATGTAACCTTTCCGTTTTTTATTTTGAACTTATAATCCTATTTTTTTTAATTCATTTGCAACACTGAGTTTATTTTTCGAACTATATCAAGAAGCAAACATACGCTCCATACGTTGAATAAATAAAAAGGCGTTCCCTTGATCTAACTTTCCAGCAGTCCTTGGTCAATCAGTGATTCAGACGACATTAGGTCACGTCTTCGTTATACAAATCACACAGTTTTCCCGTTATGGCCATGGATTCACCGAGCAGACGATTCCAGCCACCTGCTTTATCATCCCCCCTTCCATATCGATCTTTGCGCCCTCTGGTGATCAAAGAACGCCGGTCGATTTCTACTGAAATTTCTCACTGTCACTTCATCATTTCATCTCATTCAACAAGGATAAGAAGTCGAGAAAACATTAATTATTACACTTTTTGGTTGTTTTTATTTCTGTTGAAGTGATCGGTTATTGATTGAAATGGCTGAAAATCGTGCTACCAAATCTGGATTAGCTGCTGAAGCCCATAGCAAAGTAATGTTTATCTTTTTATCTCCTCTAAGGATAAGGGCGTTAGATAAAAATTTTAGCTTTGATGTTTGTTTTGTATGTTTAACTCTTATGATTCAAAAATGTATCAATGATTTAATGGTTTTTTTAACGAATTGTATTTTTCGTAAAAATTAATATTTAAGTGAAATGTAGTGACAATATGTTTATTTTGAAATATTAGTATTTTATCAATTTTTTGGTATTGATTTTATTGGATTTCTGAATTTAAAAAAAAAAAAAAACATCTTAATTTTTAAAATGTATACTTAGAAAATTTGAAACAAATGCATGAATCAGTTTCAAGGTTTATCTTTTATTAATATGTATAAATGTATTTTTTGTTATGTATAAATGTATTCAGTTATGTATAAATGTATTCAGTAATCTTTTATTAATATGTATAAATGTATTCAGTTTTTTTTAATTGAAGGATATGAAAAATCTAATGATAAACCACATCTTCATGAGTATTTCAAGAGAATGTTTCTGTTTAAAATCTTTACAGAATCCAAGCAAACAATAAGATAATTTTATGTACTGTCCATCATTTAGTGGAAATGTAAGATATTTGCTAAATACCTATCTGGAAACAATACTATGAAGTTTTAGATATGAAAGGTTACCTTAGGAAAGAATGTGGCATATCACTATATTGCTTCAAGTTCTCCAGTTTTATAAGTTTAATGGTGTAATTAAGAGCTTTGATTCTTTTGCCTTATCTCCTTAACATTCGGTTTTCAATGGGAAAAATATTAAAAATGTTTTTTTTTCCTACAATTTATTTGTTTCGTTTAATTTTTAAAGCAGATTTTTTCTCAAAATTACTAAAATGACAGTTAATAATGACACATCCTGCTACGTAATTAAATTCGGAAATGAATTTTTTAATTCTGCTTAAAATTTATTGCAAGACTATCTAAAATAACCTTATTTTGTTAATCATGCTTAATTTATGTTAAATTGCAAATGATGTTTTAAACTATATTAAAATTTAAAAGATAAAATTGTTTTGATCTTAAAACTAATCCACTAAATCTACAATTAAACTTTTTTTACGTAATACATTTGACGTAAATAAATATTTATTTATTCCTTGTTGATTTAAATAGTTCAGTTGATCAAACTAGCAGATTGTTCAAATTTTATCGTCAGAAATTAAAATTTTTTATTAATAAATTAAAAATGCATTGGATTTTGTTGACGAAATTTCTTTTGAGTCCACCGTAGTTCTGATTTCCTAAATTTTGATGTCTTGATTTATTGAAACTACGAATTCAGATATCAAAATTTGCTCTTTCGAAAAGTTTCAAGTTAATCAGATTATACAGTTTTTCCTTTTTCAGTTTTAGATTGTCACATCAATGTTTAATGAATTATTTAAAACTTCATTAAAATTATTTAAAACTTAATAGAATATTTAAAACTTCATTGTTTAAACAAAAGTCAATTCACTCGTCAAATAAATCAGCATTTTACTATTTTGAGATTTATTGTTGGGAGTGGGCAATTTTACTCTGTGGATCTAAAATATATAGTTTTATGAGTACATAGTTTTGATTCTAGAACTGATTGACCTTTTTCATAATTGATACACAATACAGGATTGGATATCAATTTGATACATAATTGATACACAATACAGGATCTCAGGAATTAGTCCTATGGTATTTTATTTTATAACCATCGTTGAACAGCCGACCCAATCTAGGATTTACGATGTTCATCTCCGTAGCCTTGTAATTTTGAACCCAATTCAGAAGACAAGGGAACTTCTGGATCAAGTATTGGCAGAAATTAGCCTTCGTAGAAAACTTTCTCTTAGAACTAACTCGCATTTGTGCTACCTGAGGAGGAAAACCACGAAAACTTCCCACGGTTAGTCTGTCCCGCAGTGGACTGATCGTTAATACACGGTTCCCAGCAGATCACCGAAGTCAAGCATCACTGGCTACGGTCAGTGTGCGGGTAAGTGACCACTTGGATCAGTCTGCGTAGGGACCGAGGGTGTGCAGTATTGGTCCTCGCTAAACTGTGCTACCGTAAAGTGCTCGACTTCGCGCGCAGGTCGTCGGGCTACCGAAGCGGGGGTGCCATCCCCTCCGCAGAGGATCACAATTGTGATGGTATGTCTTCGGATCATCCTCCGGAATGTTTCCCAGACCGTCGCTAATAGTCGATTGTGCAGCTCTAGTGCGACGTAAATTAACAACAATAACCCACGGTTAATCTGACGGCTAAGGGACTCTAACCATGATCCGTCTACCATAGTTTTACGTCATCACTGTGGTCTGTGCGAACCGGGTACGGAATTCATGTCGACCAGTCATCGCTGGAATTCGAACCCAGTTCACCTCATTAGAAGGCGAACGCTCTATCCCCTGGGCCACGGCTGTAGGCCTATGGAATTATCAGCCGACCCAATTTTTGGGTTTACGACTACTAATGTTCAACTCCGTAGCCTTGTAATTTTGAACCAATCCAGAAGACAAGGAAACTTCTGGATCAGTACCCCCAGAAGTATTGATTTGTTATGGGAACATGGAGGACTTTATGATTCGACAGATTTAACGTGCATCAGTCACCATTTACTACACGGGGAGTCTTCGGCCGGCTGGGATCGAACCCACGAACTGTTGGCTATGGGCCCAGTGCCCTATCAACCAGGCTATCCCGGCCCTTAGGCCTATGGAATTAACGATTTCGAGATCTCGAGGTGTGGTACCCTTTCCTGTTCGATAATTCTTTTTAATTTTAATTTCGCGTCGGGCGTAGTTTGTCGCCCATTTAATATTTTTGTCATTGAGTTTAGTTTAGTTTCGTTAGCACCAATTTTTTTTTTTTCTCCATCGCTCTCGTGTAGGACTAATCGCAATTACAGCGGAGCAGTATTTTGCAAACAATGAATGAAAAGAGAAGATGGCTGTTGCAATTTGGAATTTCCAATTATCCTTTTCAAATCTACCCTTCCTCATTAATGTGTCAATATGTTTCTTTGAAATTCCAGTTTAAAAAAAGAAAAAAGAAAAATAGTTAAGCTGTTTCTTTTTTTCCCTAAACAATAGAATACTTAAAATTATTAGTTCATTGAAAAAAAAAATTTTCTTTTTCATTTTGTGAATTAGTTACCTCCTACGCAGAAGAGTGCAGAAAACCCGTTTTGTTTTTTTCGCGCCATTTCTTAAAAGCCGGATGAAGATAATTTTTTTTTCCTGCTTAACTTTCGCTTGAGTGGCCTTAGGCGTGTAACGGCGACTTTAAACATTTCAGGTGTTTCGAAATAACCACGTAACCGTATAGGAATTTAATGGGATGCTCTCCTGACACAGTAGAAGTGGTTTCTTCTTCCGAACACAATCGTCTGCGCTCGAAATTTATCGTCATGAAGTTTGAAAAGTTTGACAGCTGGGATTTCTTTCTATTGTGAAATGAGTGTTTAAAAATCAAACATTTACAGTTTCGTAATTTTGGATAGTTATGAAATGAATGTTCACTGGTTGAACGAAATAATCAGAATTCATTAATGATTAAAAAAGAAAAAAAAATGGATCTTTACTTTCTATATTTTCTCCTTGTCCAGAATCTCTAGAGTCAAATTATAACGCTGTCTTTACAAATAAGCTGACCAGCGTCTTGCGAAAACTAAAAAAACTTTCATATTAGAACATTTGAAAACTTCCTGCTTTACCTTTCCAATTTAATATTCTAAAAAGAGAAATCGTCACACAGATTCTCTAACAGAATTTTTTTTTTTAAATTATTGGAAAGATAATGAGGTGTATGTTGTTATTATAAAGTTTCTACCAGTTTTTTAGTTTGGTCAGGTCATAATAAAATTAACTTCAAAAAAGTATTAATTTATTTTTTAATACTCCATATTATAAATACAAATTTCTTAATCAATATTAGAAATAAAATTTATGTTTTGGACCTTAAAAAATACCTCAGTCTGTTTTGTTTTGACGTAAAATACAGACAAATTCTATAGAATATATTCTATAAATGATGGCATGTTAAATGAATCACCATAATTTACAAGCATTGAAAAATCACCATTGTTGTTCCAAGTTTTCAAACAATCTGTTTCTTTAAATTATACAATGTGCAGGTTAATTTAAAATAAGGGTGCTATACTTTTTAGATTTTGTTTTTCGTAAGCAGTTTATTGCAATATAAACTTAATTTCTGCTTCACTGGCATTCCTATATTTTTTTTGTAAATTTTCAAAAACGTCTGACTCAATTTCACAAAGAAAATGATTTTAAGCTATGATTGTACAATGATTGTATAAAATTAACATTAATTTATTTTAAAACTTTAATACTTGTTCTAAAGTTAAGAGAAAATATTTATAACTTAAAAGTATTTTTTTTAAAAGTTGCTGTTTTCTTTTCATTCTTTCATTTTTTGAAATAAATAACGTATAATTAATAAACACCAGGCCTATATGCATACTAATTTATTTACGCTTAGGAATTACATCTGAAAATCTTAATTTGAAAGTAAGTTTAATTTGTACAGGATATCATATTGGAATTCAGTTTAATTGTTCAGTTAAGATGAGGAGTTTTAATGCTGAGGGGAAAAATACTCGAAAGAGATATTTATGATCGCATTCAGATTTTCTAAAAATAATGTATTTTCTGCTATAAGCTATCTAAAAATTATATATATTTAAAATATAATTATTAATAAATAAAATAAAAACTTGGTAAACTAATTTACACAAATCAAAAATAATGATAAAAAAAGTTAAATCAGTGAAAATAACGCGATTCCCTTTTAAGCAATACTGTATAATTGTTTTTCCTTCAACTTCAATAAATTGCAGCGAAGCTTCCACGTAGGAGTTTTGCAGCAGGCAAAAGGGAGTGAGAAAGCGAAAATTTGAAAGATTTCGTTTTATTTTAAGTTAAGGCTTAGAGAACAATTTCTCATAGAGCTAGAAAATTTACGGCCTTGAAATATTTATATTTATGAGTTCC